GGCCACTGTGAGGTGGGGGGGTCCTGGGCATCTGGCAGGGAGGGGCCTCCTAATCACCCCACCTCCCTACACCCTCGCCCATCCCTAGCCCTTGCAGTGGGGCCACTGCCCCACAGCACTCGGGCTCCCTCAGGTCTCCTGGTGTCCCCCATTCTGACCAGGCTGTTCACTCTGGGCCCTAGTGATGTACACTGGGGGGGGAGGCAGAGGCATTGAGGGAGCTGTGAGTTGCTCCTGGGTAGGTGCTGGGGGCTGCGCTGCCGCCGAGAGAGAGAGGCAGTGGGGTAATTTCCCAGGGGACTGAGCCCTAAGGTGGCGTCAGGGGAAGCTGAGGCACAGGACAAGACCCTGCAGGCAGCAGTTCTGAGCCCTCTCTCATCTCCTGCCCTGTCACTTGCAGAGCTGGGGGTGAGGAGGAAAGCTGCTGCCTTTGCCGGGGTGCCTGCACCACGCATGCCAGCACCAGCAGCTCCACCAGCCTCAAGCATCCTCCAGCCTCTGCGCCTGCGCCCCGCACCGCTGCTGGTAACACTGCCCTGTTACCGTCAGCACTCAGGCACAGAGCCAGGGCTCTCCCGCAGCCGCGCCAGCCCCGGGGGGCACCCAGCCTGCAGGGACACCCTCCCAGGGCTGGCTCTGGTACCAGGGGGTCATTCCCACGCACTGAGGTGGTGGGCAAGGAGTCACCATGGGGCTGGCAGCACCCTGCTGGCCAGCAGGACCGGGATGCCGGGGATCCATAATTCAGTGTGTGGCATCTGTTCAGACTGCCAGCACAGCCAGGAGCCTGGGCAGCCCTTCACCCCCCCCGGACACACACTTTGCTATTTTTAAAAGCAATTGGATCGACCTGTTTGGGCACTGAGCGCTCTCCCACTCCGTGCTGGGTGGGACCCTGGCACTGAACCTGTGCACCCCGGGATCCCTGCAATGTGGCAGCAGCACCCCCCTACCGCCATCCCCCATCCCAGCCATGGAGGGGTGCGAAAGGTGCAGACTGCCCCCCATCAGCGAGATCAGGAGGGATGCAGGCAGCTCCTCAGGATTCTTTCACTTTTGTGGTGCCAAGAAGACACTTGTTGAATGCTGGATTTGGTTCCCCCTCAAAAAAACATCCCTTGGAGGGGAGCGAGGCTGCAGCGCGAGCCTGGTGATCCCTTCGCCATTTTAGTGCACGCCAGCCGGCCGCAGGCAGCCGTCACATGGTGGTGAGAGCAGAGTTTGGCCGGGCCGTGCCGTGCTGGAGGAGGCAGCCAGAAATCTGCTGGCGAGCGCGCCTGGCCCGGCCACGAAGATCGCTGACAGCTGGGGTGGGTATGGAGCCCACCACTCCCATCCTCATGCCCACATGCCTCCATCAGCGGGGACATGGCACAGGGAAATGGGGAACACGTGGCAAGGGGGTGCCCAGGGCAAGCGAGTGGCCCTGCTGGCTGGGGGAGCAGGGGCCAGGCCGAGGTG